TAGATGCCATAAAAATCTACAGTGCTACCGTGGTAGATGGCAACAATGAGGATTATGACCCCCAAAAGAGGAAACTGCGCAACTCCGATAACATAGGCATCTACCACAGGTTCATAGAAACAGAACTGGACCCCGAATACGAAACCTTCGCTGAAGCCATAAGGGTTAAGCACTATGTGAAACACGAGTGCTGGATAAATACCCTGACTGACTTCTATAAGGACAGCCTTATGGGAGAGAAGAGAAAGCAACAGATGACCAGAGAAACGGTGCTTAACCTGATAGGAACCACAGAGGACGACTTCAAAAACGTAGGAGCATCTATAGAGGATATGTCCAAGGTGTTTAGAGAGTATCGCATAACTGCTCGGATATATGACTATATGGAGAACCTAATTTTTTCATACGACCCTCCTAAACGAGACCATCATTATAAAACCTTTTATGCTCTAGTGAAGAACGACCATATTTATACTATAAATACAGACCTTAAAAAGCTGAGGGGGGTGATGGCAGTAGAGCGAGAGCACGACATAAACGTTAAGGCACCACGCGACTACCACATAAACGAGAGAGATGCTCCGGTGGAATGCAGGATGATTAACAGCATAGACGATATCAACAAGCACACCGAACACGACGAGTACACGATGATATACAGAAGAAACAACCTAGCAGAGCTATACTATCAAAGCAAACAGGCGGGATACGAACCATACATTAAACTTACAGCCGGGGTGGTTTCGGAGCTTAACTTCAGATTCAAGGTGAAGATATCAAAGAAGCAATATAAAACCATATCGTATAAAGTAAAGACACAGAACCTGATTAAAGATGCAATGGACGGAAGCATAACAGTAGAAGCCGAACAGACTTATAACAACATGTCAAGGGCGATGTATGATTTCAATCAGGCGCTGTTTAACCCACTGCATAAATCCAATTATAATGAATCCGATATGGATATATTTAAGCAGTGTCACACGATAGCACCGTGTGGCAGAATACCACAGATTCATTATAATAGTGAGGAGGAATCAGATATGAAAACTTACTATCTATTTCGCGAACACTGTGTGGAAATTGACAGGAGAAAGGCTTACACGTGGGCTTACAACCAGATTGTTGAAGTACCCGTGTTCTGCGAGTTTGATATCTGGAAGCCTTATGAGCATAATAATGGGTTTGAACCATTGGCTCTTTATCTTGTGAGGGCTACTGGCGAGGCTAAGATGTTCTTTAACAAACCCTATCTGTTAATGTACGGTATGTTTCTAAAACACTTTCACGGAAAATGCGAGATTTTGTACTATAAACGCCCCTCTCACACTCACAAAGTCAACTATAAACACATCACCGAGAAACTGTGGGATACCACCATATCACACAAACCGATGGAGGACAACAGAGTAAAAAAACTGATAGCCAACGTAAACATAGGACTGCTGGAAAAGGGCACGAACAAGGCACAGAAAAGCCTGGTGTTTGATAGCTTAAGCGAGGCTTTAGATCATCAAACCATACACGGAGGCAGGATTAACAAAATCAGCGGACATTACGAGGAGTTAGATGAGGGAACAGAGGGCTTTGAAACGGTAGAGAAGGAAACTGAAGCAAAATACTACACATTAACTGTAAGCGATACAGCCGAATTAACAAACGGATTTAAATACATTAAGGAACTGCTTCTGCAAATCCATAACTTCAGAATGTATGAGGATTACTATAAGTTGGTAGAGGCAGGGGTTCAGGTCAATTATGTTAAGACCGACGCATTTTTAATCAAGACCGCCGACTTAAAAAAGACTAGGAAGCTGCTTAACTTCTCAAAGGAGATTGGTGGCTGGAGAGTTGAGAAAGGCAAACAGTTTGTAGCCCCAACTGACGACTATGAAATGAAACCCAACGAACTCGTGGAAATACCGACCTACGAAAACGAAAGGGTAACGGTAGAGGATGAGTGGGATACCGATGCAATTGCCAAGCAAATAGTGGAGCAGAACCCAGTAATCATAAAGGCTAAGTACGCTGGTTCGGGTAAAAGCTACATAGGCGAGTATATGAAGAATTTGGGTTATAACGTGCTTACAAAACACACAAACGGATGCCACAACTAATGATAAGTTCTTTGCCATACCTATGGAGAAGGGGGATAAAATGGAGGCCTTTGACCACAGCAGTTATAACTGTATAGTGTTTGACGAGGTGGGTATGGGAGGGATGTATGTATTAAATAAGACAAGGGAGTTCGTTAAGAAACACGCCAAGGATAAAATCATCCTAGCCACTTCCGACGGGAAGCAACTGCCACCAATAAAGGATATTACCAACACACGAGACCACGAGACATATCTGAACGAATGCACTAACCAAATATTTAAATACAAAATCTACCTTAGAATATCAAAAAGACTTAAGAAGCGGAGCGACAAAATAAAACTTAAGAATATATATGATGACATCTGCAAACAAAAACTGCCCATTGAGCAGATTGTGGAGAAACACTTTAAAACAACTGACGATATAATGGCATCTGAACACAACATAGCATACACGAATAAACGGTGCTTGTATGTATCAAACATGATAAGAAAGAACCTAGGGAAGAAGAATACGTATGAAGTGGGCGAGCACATGATATGCAGAAAGTATAAGAAGGAAGGGGGGACGACCTTCAATGTCAACTTTAAGTATCGGATTAAGAGCATCGGAGCGGAAGGGGTCGCGCTACAGAACATAAAAACCAATGAGTTATACAACACCAGTATATCTACATTAGATGAACATTTTAGATATGCTTACTGTGCCACCCGTCATTCGTCACAAGGTAACTCGGTTGATAAGTCCATAACGATACACGAGTGGCAGAAGCAACACTTAATAACGAGAGAGTGGCTTTATACGAGCATCACACGCTGTACTGATATTAATAAGGTTGTATTCTACAAATCGGTGGAGAATGATAACGAACTAAACGAGACTACCTTAATACGATACTTAGACAACAAGGTTAAGCGCTACAAGATACAAGACCTGAAGGCAGGGAGGACTGTAGAAGATGCCGATTATATTGATGTGAAGTGGCTCTATGATAGGATGAACAGCAGGTGTAACAAATGCGGGCGCGGGTTTGAGTTTGATATTAAATGCGGGGAGGTGGCAAGTAATCTAACAGCCCAGCGTTTAAATAACGAGTCATGTCAAAGATAATTTAACGGCTTTTTGTTCCTACTGCAACTGCAGTTCTAAATGATTATGATAATAAAAATGATTATCTTAATAAAAATGATTATCTTAATAATTATATCATCTTGTTTATTATAATGAGTTCTAAACAAGATATTCTTAATGATACTTATTTTGATCGTGGGGGGTTTGGCAGTAAAGCCAGGACACTTCAAGAAGCAAGAAGAAAGATAAGAGTATAACAGCGGAAGACGTTAACGAGCTTTTTAGGAAGAACGTGGAGCAGAAGCGAAAGCAAACAGGACAGAACTCCTTTGTGGCACCCAATGCCTATTATGAGTTTCAAACTGATCTGTTTTTTATTAATGATATACCTGATCAAAAATTTAGGGTAGGGATGATATGCATAGATGTGTTTAGTAAGTATATGAACGCAGTGCCGATTTCATCCAAACAACCGCCGGACATATTAGCAGGTGTTATGGAAAACATTAAGAAGATGGATGGGAAACCCCAACTAATTTATATTGACGACGAAGGGAGTTTTAATACTCAAAGTGTGATAGACTACTTGAAGGATGAAAATATAGAACTGCACAGAACAAGAGGACACCCAGCATTCGCCGAAAGGGCGATAAGAACGCTTAAGGATATGCTTTAAAAAAGGGTTGAACACGATGAGAAAAAAGGTAAACAAAACATTCAATGGGGTGATTATTTACATGAGATTTTATTAACATATAACAATGCCATGAAACACTCCTCCCATGGACTAGAACCCATAGAAGCCCGTAAGAAAAAGAACTAGTTAAATGTTAAACTGAAGTTGTCAATGAATGCTAAAAAGAATCGCATATATCCTGAGGTGGATGTTGGAGACACTGTTAAAATACTGAGAAAGCGAAAGCCCAATGAAAAAGAGAGAGTCGGCAATTTCACACAAAACCGCTACACCATAGAAAGAAGTGATAAGAAACTAGGGCAGCAATATTTTTATGTGGAGGGGAACGAAAGGGCATACTTAAGACACGAGTTGTTAAAGGTTTGATTGATGCCGTGCTCTTTGTATGTTTAGCGTTGCTTGTGTTCCTGTTGTTGAGTTTTGTTCATGCGCGGCTTCAAACACTGTTGATTTCCGTAGCCTTCAAGTACAAGTCGTGGGCTTCGCCTTCCGGTTTATATGTTGGCTCTAGGGCTTAAGAGGAAACCTTCCCAGCCTACAGCATCATAAGTTCCGACAAGAATGGGTTGAGCCTTCAGTGCGGTTGAGGGTTCTATCTCACCTAGGTGATAAATCTTGACAGAATGTAAGGACATTCCTACGCGAACCAAGCTGGCATTCCTACAAGAAGCCTTGTGAATTCTGCAGGGGTTTGAGGGACGAGCCTGTACGAAATCCCGACTGTTTTGACTCAAGCTGTGCGGAGCAGGGCGCGTGCCGGACGATGACTCTTGAAATGTCAGCCTCGTCGAAAAACCCTTCTAAGCCAAGCCCATATGTTTGGACTTTGCGACCTCAACAACTCTATCGCAGCACTCGCATGGAAATCAGATGCGAATTGATACCTCTTTTGGATCGGATGCCAAACTACTGCGTGTGCCCCTCTCTCACGTATCAGTCCGGCGACCATTTTGGGGACGATGCCCTGCCCTGCAGATCTCTCAGCAGCGCCGTCACCTCCACGTTGCTTGCTGTTTGCCAGCTTGGTCAGGACATTGCGGCCAATTGAAATTACGCGGCCACCAGCAACCTCGACCTCCAAATCGAGGAATCTTTTCACTTCTCTCTCCGCAGCGGCTTCTGTCTCCTGCTTCAACTCCTGCAGCGTCTTGCCAGCGACCATTTCCTTGCACGAGGCTGTCAAATCGCCAACGCGAGAGCCACCTGACACGACAGGGAGTGCCCTTGCAAAACAACACAATTGAGCAAATAGCATCAACACAAGAAAGCAACCTGACTACACCCGCGACCGCAGCACAGGCATCGATGATGTCTTGAGCATTCTCTTCATGCCCGTGCAGGGTGAGCACCTTCTTCGCCTCCTCTGCCGTCAGGTCATCTATCCAAATGTCTTTCTGACGATTTGCACCACCAGCGTCGAACGCCAGTGCAGCCGCAGCTGATGAGGCAGAAATGATGACCTTGCAAGAACCCTGAAACCCAGCCCCGAAGAAACGGCAACACACTTACTTATCAACTGAGGACCTTATTCTGGAACGGTTATAGAGCTCTTGTTTTAAGTTCCCAGCGTGCGCTGCTTTGCCCCCTTCCGTGGATAAATCCTTCGTTGTCGAAGAAATGGTGTCCATACCTGCGCGAACAGAGCAGGGTAAGGATCAGTGAGCTTGAGTGGCAATGGTGGTTAAGTTTTGTCCCCTGCCTTTGGCTGTGGTGCGTGGGACTTCAAACAGTATGATTGGTGTCTTGGTGATGGGGTCAGCCAACTGCGCCAACTCTGCTTTCACACGGACAAGGACAGTCTCAAACATGCCAGGTACATCAACCTGAAGGGCTCTAGTGTAGCTTCTCTTCCCAGTGCTCATCCTTCACCGTGTGCTTGAAGATTCCCCGTGCACCACGAAGGACTTCCTCCACCGCAACGGTCTTGCCAGTCTGGAAGCGGCCGCTGACTATTGTGGCATGCTCGTCCCATGTCTTGACCCTGTTGGCGATGGTGTCCCTGACCTTCCTGTGGATGACCTCGCGCTTGGGCATCTTTGGGACGAAAGGCTCCATGAACTTGGCGACTGCACGTTGGACCTTGTACTCATCGGACTGTTTGAACGCCTCTTCTGCCTGTCGTTGTGTCCAGACGGCTGCTGCGACGGACACCCCAAACCCCGCTGAGGACACCAGGAAGTCCTTGTTTTCAGCCACGGTTTGGACAAAGGTCTGAGCAGCTTCCTGCGCAGACACATCTGCTGACACTCGCTCCGGCGCTGCCACGATGCATGTGCTGACCACTGCACCATGCAGTGGAATGTTTCGGCGCGTGCCCAATCTCACCTGAAGGGGCTAATGCATAAACACGAGCGGGAAGCAACAATTGCCAAAAAACCCTTTTCATTCCCCGCATAGTATGTCTTCCCACTCCCAAGCCTCCGGCGGAGGCACAAAAACCGGCTGGGTCAGCACAAAGCCCACGGCGAGGAACAGCCACAGTTTCGCACCGGTTTTGCTTTTCCACGCCATGGCTACTTAAGTTCGGAAGCATTATGGGTTAAGGGTGTTTCCCTAGACACACCGAAAAACTGCCATGCGTGCTCCTGTGCTGATGCGATGCACCACCGAGGATGACAACACCCTTCAGCAGCATGAAAATGAAAGTCTGCTGAATTGAAAGGCTTGCCGCAGTAGAGTCCAAGTCATTGGCTCGCCAATATTGCAAACTTATTAGGGTTTTTGGGAGACTGCGATTGACGAAAAGAGTCACTCTACGACCCAAGCCCCGCAATCACCAAAAAACCCATAAATTCTATCAACCTGGGCTTGCCCATTGGAAAGATGGTCTTTAGAACTCCCTATTTGATTAGGCTTATTTAATATAGGTGTAAAAGCGTAGGGGGGGGGTACGGGGTTTGAGACCATCTTCCCGAGGGGCAAGCCCTACCCTAACTAACCCATATAACCCCAATACAACCCCAACATAACCCAATACAACCTCAATATAACCCCAATATTACCCCAATATTACCCCAATATAACCTCTATATAACCCTGAATCATACTTGCAACCCCCATTGATTGCCAAAACTGACGCTGGCAACCTAAAAAACTTCTTCTTACAATCTTGCACCCCGAACCCTCCACCCCTGCACTCAAAGCGCTGCAACCTCAACCTTCGGCTCTGCATGACCAGTGTACACGGTTTAGGGTTTAGGGTTTAGGCACCATCCCTGTAACCTCGACATGTGGTGAGCCCTTACTGTAACAGAAATGCATCATCATCACTGCATCACGCCCAGCACATCCCCGCATCAGAGATGTATCACGGTATAACCTGAACGTAACATGCCGCCTAGTCAGACAATGCAAGCCGTAAACCCTTCAGCTACCCTCCCCTAACATGGAACACCGACAAGGCCCTACAAAAGACTACTGACCCTTTGACAAGGACCTATATAGGGCTTCACACGGGCTTTAGTCTAAACTCCTAGTATCCCTCTGAGTAAATCCTGTAAAATCCCCTGTATAATCCCCTCCAGGGAGTTTAGACCATAGATCATATTGGCAGGTTATGGTTCACGCTCGGGAGGCCTCGGCCTTGTTGCCGGCATCAGCTGCATCCATGATCCTCATGGTAAGGCCAGAACTCAAAACCCTTCAGCCCAAATCCAGATGGTACCCTACATGGACCCTTTTTTAGGAGTTTCGAGCTTGGGTCAGCACGACCGAAATGCTCCAGCAATAGCACAAAGGGAAAGGATGACTGTCACGTCAACAAGCGACAAACATCAGCATCACACTGTTCGGCCCTTCAAGGTGGGCTGTCTTAGGGATCGGCAGTTCACGTTTATGCCCATGAAAACCCTTAAGCTGAAGACTAAAAGTGAAGCCCGTCTTGAACCCTAAACCTTGAGTCTAAACTATGAGCGCAAGATCTGTTATCACCCACAGATGGTACCGAAATAACTCTATACAGTTGCCAGACCTTATAAAAAGAAGGAACATAAAAATCTGCGCGGATCCTTTGGGCAAGGCAGGTCAAACTAGGACGCTCTCCCCCTCCCTCTCTCTCTCTCTCTCTCTTTTTCTCCTTGAGGGCTATGGGGGGACCAAAGCACCCCCCGGGAATCTGCACCCAGCCCGTGTTGGGCAACCAGGCTGGTGTGAAAAACACCCATCACTGCTCCCTCACATCCTAATTCATAATTACAGGACACCAACTAAGTTTAACATTAATCTCTCGCTCTCTCCCTCCCCCTTCTCTTCTCAGCAGAGCAAAGTAAAGCCAGTGCAGATGCCAACCGCCTGTCAGCAGCTCGTGAGGTCAAACCCTAAACCCTAGAAATCCCGAACCCGAAGCCGTAAGCACTTGTATCACTGATCCCTAACATCCCCAATCCCCAAGCTCGGATCCTTCCGGCGAGGTCCATCTTCTGCTCGAAGATTCCCGGCTGGTTGCGCCAGTAGCTGTTGAGGGCCTTGAACTTCGGCTCCTCACGGTGTACCAGTTGAAGGGAATTACAAGCTATATTTTACTTTTAGAAAATTCCTTTGTGATGCATTGTTGATGAGGTGGGGGACTTTGGGGCAAGGCCCTCCGGCCCATAACCACTCCGCAATGCAGGAGCTGAGATATGAGAAAGAGTTTAGGGTTCATTGTTTGGGTCAGTTCTGGGTCTACTGCATCACACTTACGTGAAAGTCTATGAGGAGTGTAAGGTAATAACATTGGTAATTGTTCGTCAACTCTTCAACCGAACGACCTATAAAAATCTGGCATTAAGCCCCATAGCCACTCGTAATCCCTCAACCCTAAACCCTAAAGCCATGATAACACAAATAACAAGCAACAGTTAGTAAAAGCAATGACACTTACAAGAACAACCGCCTCATAGCCGACATCCCCAACCGCCAATAATTGTCAGAATCCCTCCCCGTCGCCAAAGACGCATCGTTTTGAGAACACACGCTCCAAGCTTTGTATGAGCTATATTCTAAACTCCTCCCTATAATACTCCCCTATAAACGTGTAAGCACTACATCCAAAAGGCAGAGGAGGACGGAGATTAAGAGTGACTTTCACCCAAAGGGCGGGGAGGCCTGAAACCCGACCCGCTGAACCAGACGCCCCAGAACTCTCAACCGCGAAAACTTTGGCACTGCTAAACCCCGAGCGGCAAACAAAAAAGGCTTTAGGATTTAGGGTGTAGGACTTAAGCTTCAAGGAACCGCAAACTCTCAGTTTTGTCCATCCTCACACTCTAGGGTTTTCAAACAAAAGCGCGCGCTGGGACGTGGACCACTTTGACGATCCTGAAAGCATATTCGGTATTAACATAACTATTACTATTACTACTGTTATGGTTACTATTGCTAGTACTCCTATCATTACTAATACTATAAACATACTGTTATGACGACTACTATAACTATTGCTATGCAAACCCTAAACCCAAAACCCTAAGCCCCTAAACCCTAACACTATTATTATTACCATGTCCCTCCCTTGGGTCCTTCTTCAGGACGGCGTCCGTGTCCCCCTTGTCAACGGCCGCCTGCAGCTTCAAGACCTGAGGGCCGTAGCCTGGGCCATCTTCAATGACTCTAGGGGTTTGGGAGTTTCGGGTTTGGGGTTTAGGGATCGGGGTTTAGGGTTTAGGGGTTTGGGGTGTTGGGGTTTGGAGGGGTGGGGATTTAGCAGTTTGGGGGTTTGATTTTGGTGCTTCAGGCTTAGGATTTAGGGTTAGGGGTTTGGGGAGATTTGCACTGAGGGTAAGGGCCTAGATATTTAGAATGTGGAAGCTTGGAGCAGTGTAGTATGACTTTAACGTTTCTTCCATCTTGAAACTAAGATCCAGGACCTAGGGTTCAACACTACAGCTTCAGGTCTTGGGTTCAGCTTTGATTGAGGGTTCTGCGATTTAGGGATTGGGATCGAAGGCGCTCTGTGCTCAGGCTTGGGCTTTCCCAGGAGGATCTCAGATTTTGGAGGGTAGGCTCCAAAAAACAAAGAGGGAGTAGAAATCTAGGCGCCACAGCTGTGCCCAAAAAACCAAGCAAAGTGCTTGAAATAGGCCCCTGAGTATTAAAGGCCCTGTCTTGTTCTGGATAAAGACCCCACCAAGATCCTCTTCAGAGGCGGAAGGGCATTAGTCAAGGAACTACACTACATTGCCAACCCTGGACCCCCAAATGGAAACTACTATAGTATATTGGTGTTTTATTGGGATAATGGAAAGGAAAATGGAAACTACTATGTAGGGTTTAGGGCTTAGGGTAATGTAGACCCATGATGAATAAACCCCTCCCTTTAAGGGCCTAAATGTTAGGATCCCTGTTTTAATCCCTATTAAGGGGACGGGGGTTCATTAATCAAGGGTCTGGGTGAGGGTTCAGGGTTTAGGGTCCCTCAACCCTACCAATCATCATCAGGGAACGGGCCAGGCACGTCACCGGCTCCCCCTGGGCATCTGCTAGTGCCGCCTGCTTGGCATCAAGGGTTTAGGGTTTAAGGTACGGGGCGTGGTTTTCGGTTGGGGGTTTGGATGGTTTGTCATTTTGAAAATCTTCTTCATGCCTTCCTCCTGATGATGCTGCGGACTGTAATGTTTTGCATACTGGCGGTAATAGTGAGGGTGAGTACTCAGTAATGAGATTAAACAGGTAGTCACAATTCAGAAAGCAGCAATAATGGACTCTTAGTAAAAATAACCATGTAACCGCAATAGTAACTGTAATTGTAACAATACCTATAATCAAAATAACAGCTGCACAAGTGATCATACTAGCAATGGTATTGCGAAATCATCAGGACTATTGACGG